TTGTCCGAGCGAGCGCAGCGAGCGAGTGACCACGCTGGTGAATCGGTGCAACAAAAATGCATTTTTTTTAAACCTGTGGCCCACTTGGGGAGGTGTTGCACAGCAAATCGGGGGATATTTTCGTTTTAATTGTCCGAGCGAGCGCAGCGAGCGAGTGACCACGCTGGTGAATCGGTGCAACAAAAATGCATTTTTTTAAACCTGTGGCCTACTTCGGAAGGCGTTGCATACCAAATCGAGGTTAAGTAGAAAAGTTCCCATATTAGTAATAATATACAATTTAGTAATAATGAGACAGTCGTAAAATAGCCATAATAATATAAAAAAAAGAAATCGGTAAAACAAAAATACCACCCCGCGCGGGAGTACTGTGGCGCGGGTATATACGTAAATTTTAACTCGTTGAAATACATAGATTTCCGAACAATTTGCGAGGCTGCGAAATTAGATTTGTTCCAGTAGTTTTAGTAATTTTCTATTTAGGTACCTATAATTGCATGATTTTTTTCCTTTTTTGTTAATTTTTGCACGACAAATCCATTTGTATTTATCGATTGACGATTGATCTTTAACCAATCTCATCGGATGTCCTCGTATACAATTTTGTTCATTTGGCAATTTACCAAATGACTGTAATTTGACAATCAAACCTAAGCCATCGTTCAGGCTTGACCATTCCATTAAATCAAACAAATTTATATGTTTCTCCATAGTATAGAATATTTAAAATGAAATTTAATGTTTTCGCGCCAGTAAAGAATAGGCGTGTAACCGGCGCTAACCGCAAGTAAACTGTTTAAGGTGCCACTGTATCGTGTCGTCCATAATTTAGGACGTCGTCCTAAAATTACAGTGTTTTGAATGGCTGAATATTGTGGTTACCTAATTAATATACCATGTTACCAGGCGTTACCAGAAAGTTGAAAAAAATTCAACTTGTCGTCGTGCGGTAACAGTCGTGGTTCAATCCTCCTGATAATAAATAATTTTGCCCTAGATTTCCTACTTATAAGCAGTGATTACAAGTTTTACGGCACTTATCGAAAAAAAAAAATATTAATATTCGTAATAGGCGCGGTAAAGTATAGTGTTGCGCAAATGCATGGAAATCGCAAAATAGAGAACTTCAAAAGGCTATAACTTCAAAACTAAGTCCGTGCGCCAAATTTGGACTTCACCATCGTTTTCAGCGTGCTTAACTACATAAGTTTAAAAAAAAAAAATTGCAAAAAAAAGGGTGTCCGGTAAAGTAGAAAAGTTCCGGTTTTTTAATATGTGATTTCGTCCAAATTTGAACATAAAATGACTATAAAAGTAAACTGTGATTGTATATTTTTTAGATTTTTCGGTAAGAGAATTAACTACTTACGTGGAATCTTGTTTTAAATTTTCAATCCTTAGCTATAAAAACTGAACATTTTATAATTTATTAATTACGATGATTAATAATTTTCGAGATTTTGAAAAATTCTATCAAAATTCGATGTTAAAATGCTTATAAAAAAAAATTGTGCCTATGTATTTTTAATATTTTTCAACTGATATTGTAACAATATATCAGGAGCCTTGTATTAAATTTTTACACTTTTTGGCCCAACAGATAAAACTTAATTGATATTTATAGAAAAAAAAAACTAAAAAAATTGAAAACTGAAAATGTCCGTAAACGGCTCAAAAGAGTCAAAATATTTTCAAAATTGTAGGGTGTATAGGAAATGCTAATATAAACATTCAGTGAAATTTTCATGTATCTACAGTAATTCGTTTTTTAATTACAACAAAAAAAGGAAATTGCCACATGAGAAATCGAGTGAATATCCAATGTTGTAAAAATTTGAATTTCAAACGCTCATAAAAATTTAATTTGACTTTCCGGTAGAAATTTTTTTATTGATGAAGGTAGACAATCTTATGAGTAATCTTGTATTAGATTTTCAAATCTTAGATTTAAAAAGAAAAATTTTTACGAATTCTTAACAGTTCAAAATAAATCAAAATATTTTGAAAATGTTATCGTGTATAGAAAATGCAAATATAAACAACCAGTGAAAATTTCATGTATCTACGGTCATTTGTTTTAAAGTTACACCAAAAACCAGAATCGATTTTTTGGAAAACCGATTTTGCGTAAAAATTCCCGTTTTTTCCTTAATTTTTATGTTGTTTTTTCCCGGCGCTCTTGAAAACTACTGGGAAATTTAAATTTTGACCTCCCCAATGCACCAACGATATTCACTTTCCAATCGAACAAGATACTGAAGTCGAAAATCGAAGCATTATTTCGACTACTTATCGTGTACACAGACACAAAAAAAATAAATATAAAAATAAAAAAAAAAAAAAAAAAAATAAAAAAAAAAACACACATCATTGTAAAATCAATACATTCATCGTTTCACTCAGAATCTAAAACACACATCATTGTAAAATCAATACATTCATCGTTCCACTCAGAATCTAAAAAAACTGTGTTTATATATTTTTGAAATTTTTCGGTTCCAGAATAACCTACTTCATAGAATCTTCTTATAAGTTTTCAATCCTTATAATTTATAAATATAAAAATTGAATATTTTATAAATTTTTAAATATATTGTCAAAAACCAAACTTTAAATCCTTATAAAAAAAAATTGTCCCTATTTATTTTTAATATTTTTCAACTGCTAATTAAGCAATATATCAGGAGCCTTGTATTACATTTTAACGTTTTGTGACCCAACAAATAAAATTTAATATTTATAGAAAAGAAAAAACTAAAATAATTGAAATTGTCCGTAAACAAGTCAAACTGTTTTGAATATTTTATGGTGTATAGCCAGTGTTGAGCCCAGATAACAATAATATCTAGATAAGATGAAGATAATTTTGTAAACAATTATCTAAATTCAGATCCAGATAATCATTTTTACTTTTATCTAGATAAAGATAAAGATATATACTTTTCTATCTACATACCATATTAGATATTTTCATTTTGTTTAAAATACGAAAAAAACAAATATATTATTTAATTATTTTAGAAGAATTATCTTATTATTTTATGAATATTCATTTTATTAAACAATTTTCTGAATATACTATACTATATAGAGTACCTATAGACTTGGAGTCATGCCTCATAATTGAATATTTCCATAATTCCATCACGAGTTCACGAAATAATGTTCTCCGCTGGACGAGGGTTTTACACTCTTACGTAATAAATAACAATATTATTTAGCTTGATATAAATAGACGGGAACAATATTATTTCCTTGAAACCATTTCTGTAATTAACATTACACGAAAAACGTAATAATAATTAATAAATGACAAAAAATAAACACATTCGTGTCAGCGATAATGTGCAGAGATACTATACCTATATCGAAACACTTAATGCTATGAAAAAATTAATGTATTCACATTTTCAGGAATATTGCTGCAATAATATTTTGTTTGATCAATGATAAGATAAAATTAAAAGTACCAAGCTACCAACAAATCTATCAAAACTAAAAATTATTATTTATTTACCTATCTATATATATTTATCTAGACAGGTTTACAGTTTACTTGTCATCTTATTTATCTGGTTGAAATAAAGATGCTGTAGTCTTATCTATATACTGCTCAACACTGTGTATAGCATATCCTAATATAAATGTTTAGTGAAAATATCATGTATTTAGTATTTACACTCATTTGTTTTAGAGGTCCGCCAAAACCCAAAATCGATTTCCCCAAAAACCAATTTTGCGTAAAAATTCCCGTTTTTCTTTAATTTTTGTGTTGTTTTACCGACACTTTTGAAAACTAGGTATTGCGATTTTTAAAATAACCTCCCGAATGCACCAACCGATTCATTCTCCCATCGAACAAGTCACTGTTGAAGAAAATCGAAGAAGTTTTACTGCCCCAAACCGTGATGACAGACACATACAAAAAAAAACATACATCATTGTAAAATCAATACATACATCGCCGCTCCATTCGGAATCCGAAAACTTAAAATTATAATTTTTTCATTTGTTCAATCTATATTAGTAAATAGCACGGCTTTAGATAGAAACTAAAGCCGTGGTAAATAAATATTGCATTGTTATGTTAAATAGTATTGTGTTTGTACTCTGCCCCCCCCCCCCAACACAAACTATGCTTTTAGTGCGGCGTCATAATAGATGTATCTACTTTTAATTTTTGTTTTATCTTTATGTAAACAAATCATTATTAGGAAGCTGGCATATTCAAAATCAGAATGTAAAATTTGCGTCCTCTTAATGTATATTATTATATTGTATACAAATAATGACAATTTAAAATGCCTAAAATGAATTCAACCTACTGTATTATACTAAGTAAAATAAATTACTTTAACAGCAATAAATCATAAAATATAGGTACTTAGTAATATAGCTATAAAGGATCGTCTTCACTCTTCGCTAAGAATTGTTTATTATTTTTTCGTATAAAGGATTTTTTATTGAGGAGAGCATAGACCTACATACTAATGAGTAATGGACAGCACATGCCACTTCACTCAACCATCAATGCTAGGCCATATAAAACCATTGAGAGAGATAACATAAAAAAAGTGAAGGAGACAGCACAAAGAACAGTATACATTTTACTATGTTCATTCTTTTCTCACTCACTCTATACCGTGTCCTCTCTAAGCGCTGTCTATTATTAGTTTATAGGTCTATGATGGGGACGCACATAAGCACGTCGCACAAGGACTAAGCAACCTCTGGTTATTCGCCTCAACTGTATTCGGGTATCGACAACTAATAACTATGAACTGTTTCATCACCATCTACACAGTCACCGTCTTACCAACTTGATATAAATTTGTCAGTAGGTAAACAATTTAAATAAAATAAAAACATGTTTAACAAACATTTGCAAAACACAAAAAAGTATAGAACAATGCACAATTCATAATAATTTATACATTATTGTGTATATAATAATTTAAAACTAACCACAAAGAAACCATTATGTATCTGTTTTCTGTATGCTAATTAGTTTTAAAATGTGGTGGTCTATCAATGACTACTCCACCGTAAATTTGTACTCCAGTTCTTGATAACTTCTCTATGGTCCAAGTATTAGTGATTGGGTTGTAAATTTCTACAGTATCAATCATAGATTTGTCAGTTTCTCCGCCCATAACATACAATAAACCATCTAATGTGACGACTCCTATTAAAAATGTAATTTAAATTCAATACAATTTTTAAAGTTAATCCTAAATAATATAATCGTTATAGTTACCAGGCCTCAATCGGCACAAATTCATATCGGCAATAGAAGACCATACTCCATCACTTGGTCTGTACACCTCAACACTTTTAAGATACTCTACATTAAAACCACCAATAGCATACATAAGACCGTCCAAAACTCCTACACCAACACCACAACGGCATACAGACATTTCCACCACTGATGTCCATGTGTCAAGAGTGGGATCATAACATTCCACAGATTTCAGACTGATTTCTTTATCAGCACCTCCAACCTAAACAATTTAATTAAATGAAATGTATTACAAATTAAAAATAAATAACTAATGTAATTATTCACCACATATAATTTATTATTGAGTACACCAACACCGAAATTCATTCTTGCATTTGTAATACTAGACACCATTCGCCATTGTTGAATACTCGCATCAAATACCTCTACACTATTTAATGCAGTGGGGCCGTCACATCCACCAACCTAGAATTGCAAAATAATATAAATTTATGATATAAAATAAGTAATATATTGATGTAACTTACAGCATATATGGAATCACCTAATACTCCGACTCCTAATAGATTTCGACTAACTAACATGTCGACCATTGGAACCCAAGAAGGTGATTGTGAAGATACATCAAGCATACTAACAGATTTAGAACTTGATAGATTTAAACCTCCTACAGCAAACACAAATTGATCTCTTATCACGCCAAAACCAGCTGTGTCTCGAGAAACAAAAAATCCTGGTCCATTCTCTCGTAGTTTGGTTGCTGGGTCGTACCATTCCGTAGTACACTTTGGCCATGTATCAGACCGGTTGAACATTAAAATAACCTGATAAAATTAAAATGACAATGTAATTGTGAAGATATATCAATCAAAACAGAATCATACTTTTTGAGAACCACCAAACTGTCTAGGTTTACATCTTATTGTTTTAGGTATAGTGAATTTTTGAACAGATTTTTTTAGATTAAAACGTAATGTTTCAGTTATATAATTGTTACCTTAAAACATTATAATAATAATTAATAAAATATATAACATATTGATAATGATGGCATATTTATGAAAATAACATACATATAGGACTATTATTTAGAAGAGGTTCTTCAACTACTTTACTTAAAATATCAGGCCTTAATAATGGCAAACGTACATGTTCCATTAATTCTGGTAAAAAATCTTTTCTTTGATCTAAATCATGTTTTACCCATTTAATGACACATTCATATACCTACAATTACAAATATTAAAATTAATTAAATATATAATAATTTGTTAAATCACTCATTGATAGTGTATGATTATCACAGGGCCCTGTACATATTATTGGATTCCTTCTTTTTATAGCAAGTAAAGAAATGTATTCATTATTAAATACAAGCTGATTCAATGGATTTTAACCAACTATAACTTTAGATAATTGATACTTTTCACAATAATAGGTACCCAGTTTACAACAAATAGGTAAGTACCTAGTATTATAATAGCCACATAGTAACAATAACATAGCCAGTGTATCATATAGAATTAAATCATTTTAAACAAATTTCAAAATTTTTTTAGTTTCAATCATAAATTAGTAAAATATATAATATAGTTACACATAAATAAAGCTATAACAGTTTTGGATTAGTCAGATAAGGTTAACCTGTTCAGACTGTTCTAACTTGAACTTGAAGTTTAATCTTATTACATTTTAGATTCTGAGTGAAGCGATGAATGTATTGATTTTAGTACTTTACAATGATGTGTGTTTTTTTTTAATTTTTTAATTTTAATTTATTTTTTTATTTTTGTGTCTGTCATCACATTTAAGGACAGTAAAAATTGTAAATACTTAGATTTTCTTCAACTATGTTCTTTTTTCTGAAAGGAAAGTTAATCCAGTTGGTACTTTGGGGAGGGGGGGGGGGTCAAAAATAAAAAATGTCCCATTAGTTTTCAAAAGCGCCGTGAAAAGTAAAACAAAAATTAAGGAAAAACGGGAATTTTTAAGCAAAATCTGTTTCGGAGAAAATCGATTTTGGTTTTTGGTGAAACTCTATTACCTTAGGTACACCAAATTTTAACTGAATGTTTATATTAGTATTTTCTATACATCATAACATTTTGACTTACTTTGAGTTGTTTACTGACATTTTCAGTTCCCATATTTTTAGTTTTTTCTCTATAAATATCAATAAAATTGTATTTGTTGGTTAAAAAGATTAAAAATTTAATAGAAGGCTCCTAGTATATTGTTTCAAAGGCAAATGAAAAAATTTAAAATCCAAAGTATTTTTTTTTATAAGCATTTAAAGTACAATTATATTGACAAAATACGTAAAAATGACGACATTTTGCAAATAATTTTGAGTTAGAAATACATAAAAAAATTTTATAACACATTTTTAATAACTTTCGTTTACCTTTATCAAAAAAAAAATGTCAACAAGAAAGTCAAATTAAAATTTTATGATCGTTTGAAATTCATATTTTTACAACATTTGATATTCACTCGATTTCTCATGTAATGATTTTCTTATTTTAATTTTTTTTTTTTTTAAATTAAAAAAATGAATGACTGTAGAATGTAGATACTTGAAAAATGTTTATATTAGCATTTTGTATACACCATACAATTTTGAAAATAATTTGACTCTTTTTGATATTTTTACTGTCCATTTCAAACTTTAATTTTTTTAGTTTTTTTTTTTTTTATAAATATCAATTAAATTTTATTTGTTGGTCCAAAAAGCGTGAAAATTGTATGAAAGGCTCCTGATATGTTGTTACAATAGCATTTGAAAAATATTAAAAATACATATTCACACATTTTTTTTAATAGCATTTAAAGTTCAAATTTTGACAAAATTTATCAAAATTTAATAATTATTTTGTAGGAAGTTAAAAACGTATAAAATGTTCAACTTTTATAGCTAAGGATTGAAAATTTAAAACAAGGTTCCACGTAAAAAGGTTCCGTTAAGAGTTTTTTATTTTTTTCTCGTATCTTTTCGGCCCCACCCTTCTTTCGTTTTTCACTAGCGTCACACATAATTTATATTTGAATTTTTACACTAAACACACTTTTGTAAGTACCGTAACTGACTCAGTAACTCGTTCATGTAAAAATTTTAAAATCAAAGTACATATAAATAATGATAAAATAATGTTATCAATCAACTAACTGAATTCTACCATAAAGTATAAAATATAAACACTAAAATACCAATACCATAGATTTCTAAATAATACATTAGCATCAATTTGAGGGAAAATAGTGTAAATACCAAAATTAATACTATGAATTGCAATAGTTTAAGGTATTAAAAATAATACCTTCGTAGGTATTTGATTTTTAATATATTGTATGTTTAATTTATAAAAATATAATTTTTTTTTGTAATTATATTAGAATAATTATAGCGGCCCTGCCGGTCCTCACAAGAACCAGCCAATCGGAAAGATTACCGATTTCCTGATAGGCCAATTCACCCCTGAATTTGTGCTAATTGTGTGAATTTGGAAATAAATTATATGTTTGTCGTGCCTATATAGTTTATGGTTATGGCCTGGGTAAAAACAACAGGTAAAAATCTTAACTGTAGAAACGACAAGGTAAAAAACAATAACATTATAATTATAAAGGTACACAAGTTCAATAGTGGTCCCCAATTAATTTCAACATAATATCATAATATTAATAATGTTTTATGCTATGCAGTAAAATTTTTTTTTTAAGTTGGTTTTATTGGCAATAACGACATAATATGTCAGAATAATTATTTCCTTCAAACCCCCTCTAAAAAGTATAATATTATAATTATATAAATTTATGTTAGCTCTGTGTTATAAGTTGATTTTCCATTTAACAAATACTAATACTGCAGTTTGCTTACTTTTTCTTCAAACGGAACAGCAAGGTCATTACAGGAGATAATCTTAACCACACCTTCAGAAGATAAAGATAGGAACCCATCACTATTAGCCACTTCTCTAAAAATAATTATCATTATATATATTATAATTTATTACTGATATATAGAGAAATAAGTTAATTATATCTCACAAAAACTGATTTTTAATGATTGCTTCAGAAGTTGATAACAAAGCAGCACATTTATGTAATCCAGCAAACGCATTGATGCAAAGACAATTTGATACATCCAGTTGTTTTTGTAAGAACTCAGAGCATGCATTTTTTACAAAATCTATCTGTAAGAGGTTTGCAGCTGGTAATAAAACCTTGGGAAATCAACAATAATATATTAAAAATAATTTTATATTAGTCTATAACAAATCAAATTTTTAATAATTTATACCTGTACATTTTCTTTTGTGATCATAATTTCACCCGTATAAATATAATCTAATAACAGTTCTAAAACGGTGGAATCTAATTTTTTTATATTAACAGTGTTGTTGACAGATTTTGCAATCTTTCGGGAATCTATAAAATTTGAAATTTATATTTTAGTTTCTACTCTAGTTATAACTTTTAATACTTTTCCACTAGCTAAATCCTGATAACTATTTATGAGTGGGATGGTGTATTATACCAACAAAAATTAAAACTCTCACGCCTCATTTATTTGTCTAACTTTTCTAATTTCGTAGTGAGAACTTGTTTCAGGTCAGATGAAATTCCGAATTTTCATTTTACTTTAAATAATGATGGAAAAATACGTTTGAAAAATATCAAATATTGTTCATCATTCAAATGCATATTGTAGCTTCTTTCTTATCATTTTTGAAATCGGGCTTTGTTTTTTTAAATAAAAAAAATATCGACAATTCTAAATGGCGTGAGTGTTTTTCCTGTACGACACGTTTAACATGTGTACTAAAAACGTCACAGCTCCGACGCCCTTAACAAAATCTTATTATTGCTCTCATTAAAATAATTACTGAACATTGCACGGAAATATGGACTAGCTGCCATTAAAACATTTTTATGACCAAACGTCATACATCCATCGTCTGTTTCAAATCTAATATCACATAAAACTTCATTTCTAAAAACAAAAATGTGTTATTAATATTAGTTTTTAAAGAATCTAAAATCACCATTAACATACTTGCGTAGAGATTGCAAATCTTCTAGTAATCTAATGGAGTGAGAGTTATTTCTAAAATTTGTTGGCTCGCATAATTCATTGGATATCAGAACTTGCTTAGGTTCGCATGATGAAATCTGTAAGGTATCCATATCTTTTACTGACATAACACCTTTAAAATTATTTAAAAAAATTTAATACATTTCTATAATATCATTAAAACTTAATACATAGGTACTACATTTTAGTATAGAAACTTTAGATAGAGCAACAAAATACTACGGTTAAGAAATGACTATGTGATTATAAATATTAATAATTGCTGTCGCTATTCATATCATGATCACAATATTATTTAAAGATGTGGTATATTTTTATTGTTCTTAAAATATTAATCTGTGTCTATAGAGTATTCCAGTCGCCCGTCCATAATAGCTAGGTGAGATCATGTATTGCCGACCATGATCGGACGTTTTGTAGACATATCGAAAATATAATCGAAATAAAATCAATTTATAGAATATGCGTATTTTATCACTTTTTTTTATC